AGACACTTAGTCTCTTTATTAGAAGCTTAAATTGGAAAAATCAATTGGATGTTGACTTATATGTAAACGATCTCAGATTTAAATTTTTATAGTTCTGTTAGCTCCGTTAGGTGATTTAGGACTTAGGAGCGCGTCCAGAATGTGATTTGGAGGTCTGTAGTAGAATTAGGCTTGAATTGGCAAAAAATGAAAACTTAGCGATTTTGGTCGGCAGTGAAAAAATTGATATCGGAGTCGAAATGGATTTTCGGAAGTTGGAGTAGGTTTGTGGTGTCATTTTTTATATGTGTGTAAAATTTGAGGTCATTCAGACGTGGTTTGATAGGTTTCGGCGTCGTTTGCGGAATTTGAAAGTTTAGAAGTTCTTATGCTTGAATCCGAGGGTAATTTGGTATTTTTATGTTATTTTGAGTGATTCGAAGGTTCGACTAAGTTCGTATGATGTTATGGGACGTGTTGGTATGTTTGGTCGAGATCCTAAGGGCCTCAGGGTGATTCCAGGTGATTAACGGAAGCTTTGGAACTTGGAAAATGCAGCTGAAGCTGCTGGTTCTGGTGTCTTCCGCACCTGCGGAGTGGGAGCCACATGTGCGAGACCGCAGGAGCAACTGAGGAGCTGCAAATACGTCCGTGAAGGACCTGGGTAGGAACCGCAGGTGCGAAAGTATTCCCGCACCTGCAAGAGTCGCAGATGCGGGCAGGCATGCGCAGGTGCGAGAGGAAATCCGCAGGGGCGAGGTAGTCTCCGCACCTGCGATGATCGCAAATGCGGTCGAGAGTCGCAAAAGTAGTCCGGGGGTTTTAAGTGACTTTCCACAGAAGCGGAGCTTGGTCCGCAGATGCAGTATCGCAGAAGCGACAAAAGGGACCGTAGATGCGATTTCACTAGGCAGAATGTACAAATAGAGGACTTCGAGATTTTTCCTCATTTCCACAATTTTAAACTCGGACTTTGGAGCTTTTGAGGTGATGTTTGAAGGAAATTCAAGGTTATTCACTGAGATAAGTTCCTTGGGCCTAATTATCCTTAGCTATGGTATTTTTCCATTGATTGCTCACCTAATTAGTTGGGTTTTGGAGTAAAATTGGGGGTTAGGGCTTGAGAGTTAGAGAGTGAATATTTAGGGATTTGAGTGACCAAATGAGGTCGGATTTTAATAAATTTGGTATGGTTAGACTCGTGAGTGAATGGGCTTTTGGATTTTGTAACTTTTGTCAGATTTCAAGACGTGATTGATCGATTTCGTGAGTGAATTGGGGGGGGGGGG